AATTCGTAATTCGTAATTCGTAATTCGTAATTCGTAATGTACGGTCAATTCAACGGTAAAGTTAGGTCAATCGTCAAATGTTTACCTCTGTCGGAAGAGAACCATCACTCTGAAACTGATCGAAATTGATTTTAATACAACAGTGTTTACACACACACACGTGTTAGAAATTAGGCGATCTCAAGCGTATATCGAGGAATTGAAGATGTCCATGATCTCTTATACGGACCGAGACCACTGTGTTTGTTACTTTCCATCGCATCTATAATCGGGGCCGCGATTTCTTTGTTTCTGCCAGTTTACGCGAACACGTGTACTAGAAATTGGACGTTAAAATGTATTAAAAATTATTTACATAGATTCAGATCTATGCAACAAACGTCAAATACAGATCACTGTGAGATATAATTTGATCAACTTTGTTCATATATTGAACACACATTCTGGATAAAAAAAAAAGTAAGATGTACGATATAGTTAAATTTGTTTTGTTTCATTTTCTGCATCAGTTTTTTTTTTTTTATCCTTTTATTTTCTTTCCTCAAAATTGTACAGACATCTTGGTAAAGAAGAATTCAGTATATATGAGAAAATGAATTAAATTCTTCATAGTTTCTAATAAAACACGGTCTGTGATGTATTTGATGTACATATATATATATAAAATGCCAAGATACGTGGGTAAAGATCTGTATGTTTAAGTACAGGTTAAAATGTAAGAACGTTTACTTTTCGCAGACCGCAGCTGCTGCCCCACCCTTTGGACAAAATCAACAGCTCAGTAATAATCCAAATACAGTTCTTATTAGCTCTTCTTCGAACTCTTTGATGTCAGCCAGCGTGAAGCCATCGTCTCAGCCAATCGGAGCTATTGGAACCAAAGCTCCTCACTTTCAAGCACCGTCTGCGCCTCAGCCAAACCCAGTACGTCTTAGTTTAGTTTAACGATATACGGTTAATACTTGTTTCATTTCCTGCACGATGTTATTTATCAGATTGTTTGCAAGATGCGTATATCTTTTTTTTTCTTTTTTTTTTCTTTTTTTTTCTTTTTTTTTTTTTTTAGTTAACGTACATACCATATGATCCAAATCAAGTACTCGGCGTGAGTGGCAGTTACATGGGCAATTCCCAATTGGTACAGAGACCTGGCCCGAACGTACAAGCCTCGGCTAATAGTTATTATAGTGCAACTTCGGCTGGTAAGTGACGAAATAACGTATGCATATATACATGTATGTGTCGTTTTCTTTCAAAATGGTGATATCACTGTCGCAACATCATCCCCCTCCATTTGTGATTCTACGATGTTTCTTCATTCATTTCAGATGTATTCCCCGGATCGCAAACAGGTTTCTATCAGCCGGGCGGTGCTACGCAACAGACTGGCACTCATTACGGACTTCAGGGATTTGGTCAGCACAGCCAGAGCTTGGCAACCGGCAGTGCTGCTCCTGTTGGACTTCAAAACTTCAGCTCAGGCTTTTTATCTAGTTCGGGATTACAGATTGCTGCAGCTGCCGCCGCTCAGCAGTTTCGTAATCCAACTGGAGGACTGCCCGGACCAGCAAACGCAGGTCCTACTTTTCTTAGCAAACATCAACCGCAAGATCAGCCCAGGCAATTGAAGAGTCCATCGGGGAATCAGCAAGATGTCCTCGCATCAGTTTTCAGTTCTAGTAAGTTGAATTATTTTCGTACTTTATATTGACGATTTATAGTACGCAAAGTATCGCTGACCATTGTTCTTCTTGTAACCGGTAAGTTTCTGCAAAAAGGGAAAACAGCAGAAAGTTTTAATGCTTTTTACGGCCAACGTGATAATTCTTGCTTCAATTCTCTATATTTTTTCATATAACGTTCGAGAAATGAAATGTATTTTTTGATTCCATTAATCAAATTATGCAGCTTTCTATAGAAAAGCATACCGTACGTATGTCGAAAAACTATCAGTCTAGAAGATATTTTATAATTAGTTTTATAAACATTTATAACAAACGTACACATCGTGTTTTGAAATATGTATAACGTCAAGAAAAATTTGCAGCTTCGCAAATACCATCTCCAAAATCAAGGAACTGTAAGCAGCAATCTTCATCGCAGCAACCACAACCTAGTCCGACGCAACATCATAAATATCAACAGTACCAAGGTGTTAGTCAGTCAACTTTGGTAAGTAGTCTGACACATTTATAAATCGTCAATAATAAAGTATATTCGCTACGTTGTTGCATTTATAATTAAATCTTTCAGTCTACTGAATTAAGCAGTTTGTAAGTTAGAAAAAGTAATAAATCGTCGTAACGGACACGAAGGAGAACGTTAATTTCTGTATAAAATCGACAATAACGGATAACTAATAATATTTCTTTAGAAGAAAGAAAAGATTGGCAATGATGAAATGATTATAGATTTTGCAACAAAATATACGTGGCATGGGTATGCCACCACGCGCTGGAATTCAACCATCACAGCAAAGATATCCACCGCCCATTCAGAGACCAGTTGTTCCATTTACACCGGGTCCAAATCCGAACAATCCTACGCAGCAACAGCAACAACAACCTAATTGCATGCCATCGCAACAGCAGCAACAACAACAAGTTCAAATCAACCGTCACAGACCAAACCTGCATCAACAACAACAGCAGCAACGAAATATGAAGATGCAGCAACAATATTATTCTACTCAAGGTTTGCGCTTATTCCACGATAACACGAACATTCGCCATGGAACTCGCAATAAATAACTCAATCGCAATAATTTTTGTAACGTTTTCTTTTTCTTTTTTTTGTTTTCGTTTAGGAAACGTTAAAATTGACACAAGTGAAAAAACAGATTCGCACAATGACAAGATCAACGATAGCAGCTCTGGTACTCAGCAAGGAGGCGCTAAATCAAACGTAAATTCACAAGACAATGACAATAAGGAAGAAGTGAACCAACAAAACGAGTGAACTGTGAAAAAGAACATTCGATCTACTACTACCGTTTGAAAAATGCAATTCATGATCATATATAATGGTGCAACGTCGATCGAAAGGTAAATGATAATAATGATTAACCTGTCGTACCGTGTGGAGCGAATTGAACTGCTCCCAACTGATGTTATATTTGTCGATTAAAGCTTGCGAGCTTAGAATTCGTAATTAATAACTTGGCCATGTCTAGTTAGAATAATTTAATCGTCGTGTATCGAAGGAGGGAAACGATAGGTGATATTGTTGTTATACATACCAATGCTTCTCCGAATTAACAATCACAGAATGTGTTAACCTTCACGAATTCTCAACAAACGAGTCGCGCTTTTATCGAACATTCTCCTTTGTTCGAAAAAAAAAAGAAAAAAAAAGAAAAAAAAAAGAAAAAAAAACATTGCGAATTATAAGAGAGCAACAAATGCTAAGAGTGTAGGACGAGAATACCCAAAGTAAAACGAAACCTGATCGATACCATCGAGGATAATTATCATCCTGACGAAAGGTGTCCCTGTGGACTACTTGTCCCAACAATCCGGGGACGTTGACACGTTGTTCAGTTAAAAAATAAATAAATAACTAAATAAATGAAAGAAGAGTTAAATAATTAGACTGACGCGCACAACGTATAATCGCTCGATGTCAATCGATCATCCGAACCAGTTAATTACATTATCAATTGTGAAGATAAAAAGAAAAATGTGCACAAGACTTATGTTTCTATATATGGACACGACGGCGGTCTGTGGTATACGATAACATTAAAAAAACCAGTTTTTCGTGAAACGTAGTTCGACAAGAATAGTACACGATCGTTGCTATTATTTGTAGAGCATCGATAAAATAGAAAAAAAGAAAAACAAACAAATCGATAAATAAGACTGTTGTGTATATCGAAATTGCAAAAAAAAAAAAAAAAAAAAAAAATTCGCGCGATGGTCATATGAATTTACATGACGTTTCCCAATGTGACAATGAAAAACAAAGCTCGTGTACATTAATCCTTTATTGATATATACTGTGTGAGGTCATGGTGAAACTTGTGAAAAAATAAATAGTGCAACAATCGTTCATAGTATTGAATATATTATCATGACCTAAACCACTCTATGAAAGAGTATCAGTTATTAGAGAGAAATAAATAATACGAGGAGTATTGCTTGCAGAACTTCGAAATGCGCCGATCTTTTCGCATGTAGTAATATTCCACTATAGGTTGCAGCATTATCGGTCGCAACGTATATGTTGTAGAAAAAGAATTGTATACTCTCTGCTTTCGTTGCGTTTCAAACACTATAATGATAATTATTATTATTTTATTTTAATTTTATTTTATTTGTAATACTATTGTCATCATTATCATCATCATTATTTCTATTGTATTACTATATTGCATCATATATAATATATGATCATCACCATCGCCGTCGTTGTTACTATTACCGCTGCTATCATCATCGTTATCATCATCATCATCATCATCATCATCTTCATCATCATCATCATCATCATCATTATTACTATTATTATTGTTATTATTAATATTATTATTTATTACTATATTATCACTATTTTAAATTTATCACTATTACAAGTCCATAGCAAAAAAAAGGTCCTTGTCTAGATTGCTGCTGCTGCTGCTGCTGCTGTTCCTGCTGCTGCTACTATTAGTACAACTACTATTACCATTACTAGTACTACTACTGTTAATACTAGTACTACTAATACTACTATTATTGATTGTTATATATGGCTGACATCATCTCTGCTGCTATCTTCATTATCGTCATTTCATTATCATCGTTGTCATCGTTGCCGTCATCGTCATCGTCATCCAAATCATCATCATAACCGTTATTATGATAATATTATATTATTAATATTATTATAAAAGTGAAAATAAATAACAGTATTTGAAAGAATTAATTTTCATTAATTTTTTTTAAAAATGATGATTAATCGTTCAATACGTGTTGCTCATGGAGTTGCTAATGCCGCCAATTTTTTCGTCCGTCTGTACAAAGTTTGCATACTATCTTGTTAAATTTTCTCCCACAATTTTGCAGGAAAAATGAGAATGCCAGTTATCGATAATTTCAAACTTTCTAAACTACGTTCATTAAGAAGATGTTGTCGTTTAGTAAGTTTAAACTACCTCATATAAATATTTTCATAAAGAGAAATTTAATAAAGTTAATTGCAAATGTGCAGGCAATAAAGTGAAAGCGCATATTCGAAAAGATAATCAAGTCACTTATTGCCATAAGTGA